GAGGGAGAAGCAGGCTCCCAAGGAGCAGGGAGCCCGATGCGGGACTCGATCCCAGGACCCTGGGATCATGACCTGAGCCGAAGGCAGATGCTTAACCATCTGAGCCACCCAGGCGCCCAATGATTGGCTTATTTCAAGAAGCCTAACACTCTCTATTCCATCCACATCGTTGCAAATGGAGATTTCATTTTTTTATGGCTGAGTAGAATTCCATTGTCTGTCTCTCTATCTATCTATCATCTATCTATCTATCTATCTATCTATCTATCTATCTATCTATCTCACGTCTTCTTTATCCATTCATCTGTTGATGGACATCTGGGCTCTTTCCATAGTTTGGCTATTGTGGACATTGCTGTTATAAACATTGGGGTGCAGGTGCCCCTTTGGATCACTATATTTGTATCTTTGGGGTAAATACCCAGTAGTGCAATTGCTGGGTGGAGGGTAGCTCTATTTTCAACCTTTTGAGTAACCTCCATACTGTTTTCCAGAGAGGCTGCACCAGTTTCCATTCCCACCAACAGTGTAAGAGGGTCCCCTTTCTCTGCATCCTCGCCAACATCTGTCATTTCTTGACTTGTTAATTGTAACCGCTCTGATTGGTGTGAGGTGGTATCGCATTGTGGTTTTGATTTGTTTTTCCCTGATGCCGAGTGATGCTGAGCATTTTTTCATGTGTCTGTTGGCCATTTGTATATCTTCTTTGGAGAAATATCTGTTCATGTCTTCTCCCCATTTCTTGACTGGATTATTTGTTTTTTGGGTGTTGAGTTTGGTAAGTTCTTTATGGATCTTGGATACTAGCCCTTTATTTGATATATCATTTGCAAATATCTTCTCCCATTATGTCAGTTGCTTTTTGGTTTGGTTGACTGTTTCTTTTGCTGTGCAAAAGCTTTTTATCATGATGAAATCCCAATAGTTCATTTTTGCCTTTGTTTCCCCTGCCTTTGGAGACGTGTCTAGCAAGAAGTTGCTGTGGCCGAGGTCACAGAGGTAGCTGCCTGTGTTCTCCTCAAGGATTTTGATGGATTTCTGTCTCACATTGAGGTCTTTCATCCATTTTGAGTCTATTTTTGTGTATGGTATAAGGAAATGGTCCAGTTTCTTTTTTATTTTATTTATTTAATTGACAGAGAGAGAGAGCACAAGTAGGCAGAGTGGCAGGAGAGGGAGAGGGAGAAGCAGGCTCTCCACTGAGCAGGGAGCCGGACATGGGACTCGATCCCAGGACCCCAGGATCATGACCTGAGCCGAAGGCAGCCGCTTAACTGATTGAGCCACCCAGGCGCCCCGGAAATGGTCCAGTTTCATTCTTCTGTATGTGGCTGTCCAATTTTCCCGACACCATTTGTTGAAGAGATTGTCTTCTTTCCATTGGGTATTCTTTCCTGCTTTGTTGAAGATTAGTTGACCATAGAGTTGAGGGTCCATTTCTGGACTCTCTATTCTGTTCCACTGATCTATGTGTCTGTTTTTGTGCCAGTACCATACTGTCTTGATGATTACACCTTTATAATAGAGCTTGAAGTCTGGGATTGTGATGTCACCAGCTTTGGTTTTCTTTTTCAACATTCCTTTGGCTATTTGGGGTCTTTTCCAGTTCCATACAAATTTTAGGATTATTTGTTCCATCTCTGTGAAAAAAGTTGGTTATTTTGATAGGGATTGTATTGAATGTATAGATTGCTCTAGGTAGCATAGATATTTTAACAATATTTGTTCTTTCAATCCATGAGCATGGAACATTTTTCCATTTCTTTGTGTCTTCCTCAATTTCTTTCTTGAGTGTTCTATAGTTTTCTGAGTACGGATTCTTTGCCTCTTTGGTTAGGTTTATTCCTAGATAACTTATGGCTTTGGGTGCAATTGTAAATGGGATCGACGCCTTAATTTGTTAGCTTTCTAATAGCCAACTCCCTGGGTCCATAGGCCAAAACTAACCAGTTGCTCTATTAAACTTTTCTTGATAGCAAGACCATAAAAATGTCTCCCTTTGAGCAATTATAGAGAGGGGCTGTGTAAAAAAAGTACTGTCCTCCTCAGAGAGAAAACAGTGACGAGCTTCACAGCACTTCCCTGAGGACAGGATGAGACCCAATTTGGTGGTGCTGCTAGTGGAAGGCTGATTTCCTGGGCTCAGACTGGGTGATTTGATACAGAATGAATAAATACATGATGATAATCCAGGTAACGGAGTATTATAATGGGTGTCACGTATGGGGCGAGGGAACACTTATATTACAAAATCAAGTGGGAAAATTGGAGATGACAAAAACACAAAAATATCAAACTATATGTAGAAAATTATCAGAGTAAAATTCTCTAAAATATTAACAGTAAAAATAAAACAAAACCAAAAGAAACTACAAACAAACAAAAAAATCAAAGTGGTTACACCATTTTACACTGTCATCAGTAAAAACGAGATTTCCAGATGCTCCATATTCTCACCTTACTTGATATCATTACTATTTTAAAATTTCAGTCATTCTAGTAGGTATATGATAGTACCTAATTCTGGTTTTAATTTGCATATATCTGTTGTATCAACGTGATGATCGAATATCTTGTTATGTGCTTATTGCTATTCTTTGAGTCTACTTAGTTCCATTTATGTGTCTACCTTTATTATGATATCACATTGTATTGATTATTGTACTTGTAATAATCTTGTAATGAATCTTCAAATTAAAAAAATTAAAAAATTAAATTTCCGTATATTTGGAGTACCATTAGCTTTTTTTTTTTTTCCTTTAGTTGTCCAATGGGAAATAGAATGGGGGAAAAGTAGTTTTAAAGATGATTGGCGTAAAACGTGAGGAGTGAGGTGCCAAGCCTCGCAGGATCGCCCAGACCTTATCCCGCGGCCCCGGACGCCATGTTTGCGGTCCCAGCCCGGACCAGCCACGCTATCCAGGCGCCCTGTGGCGCGGCCCGCCGAGACGCAAGGTCCTCCGCGCAGCCTAGAGAGGACGCGGAAGTCGGCTGGGGGCGGGGCCCGAGGCCCCTGCGCGTTGACTCCCGATGCAGTTTAACGGGTTCTGTGAGGGTCGGCGATAGTGTGTCGCTGAGGGTGGGCGTCCGCCTGTTGCCCTCTGTTCTCCCGTTTACCTCACCTAGCGGTGCCGCCAGCGCCCGAGGGGAGTGGGTGCGGGTCCCGAGTCCCCCGGCGAGGGTCGACGCCAGCAGTGTCTGTCCTCGTGCCCGGGTGGTCGGGGCCGTGCCACCCTCGGTGTCCCCCGACCGTCTCTTCTCAGGCGCGCCCATCCCCCACTCCTCACGTTCCCAGCCCTACTTCTCCCCCGAGGAGCAGGTTCTGGGACGACCCCGGGTCATAGTGGACAAACCTCCTGTTGCCGGGGCCGGTGACCTTCGATGATGTGGACGTGGGCTTCAGAAACAGAGTGGACTCGCCTGGAGTGTCCTGAGAAGGCTCTTTACACGGACGTGACATTAAAGAATTACGGAAACGCCATGGCACTGAGTAAGAACTCTCCTGTGACCCACAGTCGCTCCGACTGGAAGGCTTAAGTGCGGTTTCTCACTAACAGACTTTCCGAATAGCAGAGCTCAGCCTTCTTCTGGTTTTGGTTTTTATTTCAATGTCCATTTCTTCCTTGTATTATTTATCTATTTACTTATCTTAAAGATTTATTTATTTGAGAGAGAGAGCGAGCACGAGTGGGGGAAGGGGTAGAGGGAGAGAATATCCAAGCCGACTCCCGCTGAGCCGGAGCCCCATGTGGGTCTCCATCTGAGCCCTGAGATCATGGCCTGAGCCTAATCCAGAGTCGGATGCTTAACCGACTGAGCCACGCAGGCGCCCCTATATTTATTTTTATGCCAGGGGAAAGGCTTGGAATTTGCATGTCCCTTGGCTTGAAATGTCCCTTATTGGTATGGCAAGCCCTCTTTTGGTGCAAGTGCTGCTGGATGGAGCTGTACAAGTCCTAATTCCCAGTATTTTGACAGAGAGCCTTGAAGTGCTGCTGGGCCCTGAGGCAAGATACTTCTTTCTCTTTTTCCTAAATAAACTCTACCTCCAGTGGGTTCAAACTCACAACCCCAAGATCAAGAGTTGTTAAAAGTGGGCAGTTTTGTAAACATTCTCAATTCTTGCCTTTCTCTTAGCTAGAGTTCTGTGTAAGCACTCCCCACAGCAGGATCCTGGGCCTGGGACTGACTGGTAGCTTTTAGGGTGGCTGCCCACTGCCAGTCTTCTTTTCATCCCAGACACACAAAAAAGATTTGCCACCAGGCCCATCCAGGCCTTAGAGTATATTCTGCCCCTCATAGCATATTTCTCCAACTTCCCCCAAATTTAGGAAATGAGTCTTTAGTTCTTTTTGTCACTATAATCCTGTATCAGAATGTTTTAATTAAATTAAATTTGGAGGGACATTAAGGTAGAAGATTCCCATCTGGAGTTTGCCAGCCCCCCTACCCCCTATTTTGTAGTTAGAAAAGGAGTCCTGCAGTGTAAGTGTTGGAGAAAGTATGTACAAATGGGATGGAGTTGAAATCCACCCTTGATTACAAAAGGGTGGTAGAAAAGAGTTTCCCAGGGTACCTGGAAAACCAGAAACACAGACCAGGCTTTCTACCCATTTTCTGTAATTCTGTGGTGATTGGCAGAAAAACCTTTATCTGAGCTTTTTTTAGGTTAGAGTGGACAGCAAGATAGTGGGAAGCTGGGAAGTCTACATTGGTCATGGGAAAAGAGGAAAGAAGGAAGTAAATGGAATATCTAGAGCCAGTGGGTAGGAGCCAAGGGGCAGGAATGAGGAGGTCAGTTAGCCTGTCTGGAGCCATGAAATTAGGGGGCTAATCAGCAGAGAGTTGCCCTCATACCCTGATTCCTTAACATGCTCATCCTTTTTCTTGCCCACGAATAGGATTTTCAGTTTATAAAACTGAAGTGATAAGCCACTTGGAAAGTGGGGAAGCCTTGTGTATCTGGGCTGGACAAAGAACCATAGCCAGGTGAGTGCAGGAAGGCCTTTGAGACCCCTGTCCTGCTCTGCCTTCAACTTGTACCTATTACCGTAGAAATTCTAAAGGCTTGTGAATTCTTTTGTTCAGAATATAGGTTCATTCTAGTTAGTTTTCTCCTCCTGGTTTATTTTATTTTATTTATTTATTTTTGGTTTCTTTTACTATTATCAATGACTATCCAAGCCTTTTCCCTCAGGTCTGAACTGTGGTTCAGAGTTACCGTGAAGATGGATTTCTTCCCACCCTCCTCGATTCCCAATGGACTTAGGATTTTTAAGTGAGCAGAATGTAGTAGCATTTACAGGGTTTTTTTCCCTCCTGTTATTAATTAATTAATTAATTTTTATTTTTAAAGTGATCTCTGTGCCTAACATGGGGCTCAAACTCATGACCCCAAGATCAAGAGTCACATGCTCTATTGACTGAGCCAGCCAGGTGCCCCTAGCACTTCCAGTTTTTGTGTGTTCTATTTAGAATCTGCATTTTCATTTTTCTTTGGAAATGGAGGCAGAGTAGAGAATGGGTCTTTGGATCTGGACCCCCTCAAATTCTCAGAACCCTCATGTTCAAATAAACACCAGTCTGAATCCAGTGTCCCCTCTTCTGACATTGGACTGAGAAAAGGTGTCTCTGGGTGATGGCAATGGGACCTCCAGCCCGCCTTCCTCAACTCTGTCCCCTTCGTGAAATCAACAGGACTTCTCATCCTGGGGAACAGGAAGAGGACTGGAAAGTTACCTTGACCCAACAGGCCATGATTACAGGTTTGCCTAAGGTGAAGACCTTCCCTGGTTACTCGAAGGGCCAAGAGCTCATTCCTGTTCTCTCCTGGTTGCTGGGGGTTGGGCACTGGCCCCAGTGCAGGATTGATGCACTCCCTATGATCCAGACAGCTTGGCTCAGTCCTCTTATAGATTTGCTAAAGGCAAAAAGAATAACTTCAGCCACCAGACATTGAAACAGTTGGAGCTTTATTGCTGATAAAGTTAAACATTTAATTGTCAAATTCTGTTTAAAAACAAAATCCAATAAAGCCGGTGTTTTTATTCATTTTTATCTCCATGCTCTAATCAGTAGACGAGGTTGCTGATAATGATCCTCTCCTGGTTTAAGAATGAAAAATCACACCTTCCAAAAAAACTAGCATATCTATTTAAATAGTGCTACCAGGACTACAAATTATTATTACTATTTTAAAGGTTTTATTTATTTAGAGTGAGTGCATACGAGTGGGGGGAGGGGCAGAGGGAGAGAGAATCTCAAGCGGACTCTGAGCTGAGCCCAGAGCTGGTCTCAGGGCTCGATCTCACGATCCTGAGATGATGACCTGAACCAAAATCAAGAGTTGGGATGCTCAACCAACTGCACCACCCAGGCATCCCCAGGACTACAAATTATCAAGTAAGCTATCAGAATTACAGACTTTAAAGTCTTTAAATAAAGATCACTTTCCCAGGATATATTAACAATGTCTGAAGTCCAGGAGTCTTGAAAGACTCCTTAAAACTAACCTTGATAAGGGGCGCCTGGGTGGCTCAGTTGGTTAAGTGCCTGCCTTTGGCTCAGGTCATGATCTCAGGGTCCTGGGATCAAGCACCACCAACTCCCCCCACCAACCTTGGCCTCCCTGCTCAGTGGGGGGTCTGGTTTTCCCTCTGCCCCTCCCCCCCTGCTGGAGCATGCTTGCACTCTCTCAAATAAATAAAATCTTTAAAAAAATAATAACCTTAGCAAGAACACTTTTGGGACATTTGAATAGTGCTTGCTTTTCTGCAGCTGTTAGGAGAACAGAGAAATATTTTTTCCCCCCTGATCTTTTTTCACCAGTAGTTGGGGAGTTCTGTAGTTTCAAAGCCAGATTGGAATTCTGTTAATTAGTATAGGAGGAGGGAAAAGAGAGGCAAATCTGAGAAGCTAAAAATTCACAACATAGGAAGAGGGCTGAATAGGATAATTATCAGATAGATCATGGGAATGTAATGGAGGCCTGTTTTCTATCTGTAGAATTTGGAAGATACTTGTTAGGTGGAGTGCACATCAAATTTCAGTCCCAGCTGTTGTCCGCCACGGCCATGGGCTTGGGCCTCCTGTCATTACTGCACCGGTGGCTCCTGAGCCAGTTGCTGACCTGTAACCCCTGGAGTCCAGTGAGGAAAGGGGGACAGAGCTTCACTGGTAGCACAGCCCCTGACCCCGCTGAGTCCAGGGGGAGCCGCCGCACAGAATAGCCCCCTTACTCCCTCTTCCCTGAGGCTGATGTGGAATCAGGGATCTAGGGAGGGACCGGGGACTGAGAGATCCACTGCTCTCTGCCTTTCCTTCTGCAACACTTCTCCCTGTCTCAGCTCTGGGAACCGGGCCCTCATCCTCCCTGTAGAGCCTCTCTGCTTTCAGTCCAAGGATTCTGGAGAGGAAGATCCCCAACTTCTGTGGGGAGTAAGCCCTTGATATAGGCCTCCTGGGTTATTTACTAATACGCCGTGGTTTGAAAAGAGTGGTTTCTTCCTGCCACGTAAGTAGGTAGTTGTCGGTGAAGAGCTGGAATTTACCCGAGGCCTTAGGGAACATGTTGATTTTAATTGGGTAGCCGTATATCCCAGTGTGTTTGAGGCATTTCCAGTCAAGACCCGATGTCCCCGTGGGACTGTTAATAGCATTCCTTTCCACTGTGAGAAGTAAGAAGTACCCCCATCGTGACAATAAATCATATGGTCCCTGGACTTCTCGGACAGCTCACATTTGCTGCAGGATTGGTTCCTGCCCTTTGAGTTCCCTGCCCAGTCGTTCGGACTGGAACCAGTCAGACCAGCTTGCCCATGGGCCCCTCAGCTGTGCAGCCCTGGACTGCCTTTCTTACCCCAGGTCGGTCATGCGGCCGGTTTCTGTCATTGATAGGGCCACTGATGTGGGAGGAGAGAAACTGTTGCTGTGTGCTGTAACAACGTCCTCCCCGAGGGGACACTGACAGCTATTTGAGACCCAGTTGTAAACACACCGAAGAGAAGGAAGCATTGACGGGGGGTGGCCTGTCAACCACCTGTGAAGTTCCATCACTCTGAATTGTTCTTTCCTGCGGAGACTTGACCGCACAAGTCAGGCAGCTGCAGGGTAGATGTGGGCTGTTAGGCTAGTGCCCGCTTTTCAAATACGCTGAATTGGGGCGCCTGGCTGGCTCAGGTGGTAGAGCATACAACTCTTGATCCTGGGTTGTGAGTCTGAGCCCCAAATTGGGTGTAGAGATTACTTAAAAATAAAACGTGTAGGGGTGTGTGGGTGGCGCAGTCGGTTAAACGTCCGACTCTTGATTTCGGCTCAGGTCATGATCTCAGAGTTGTGGGACGGAGCCTGATTGAGATTTTCTCTCTCCCTCTGCCCCTCCCCCCACTCATGTGTGCTCGCGCTCTTTCTCTCTCTCTGTCTCTCAAAAAAGAAATAATAAAATCTTAAAAAAAAAATTGGGTGCCTCAGTGGTGCAGTCGGTTAAACGTCCCGACTCTTGGTTTCAGCTCAGGTTGTGATCTCGTGGGTTGTGGGATCGAGCCCCGCATTGGGCTCGGTGCTCAGCACGGAGTCTGCTTAAGACTCTCTCTCATGGGACACCTGGGTGGCTCAGTCTTAAGCAGCTGCCTTTGGCTCAGGTCAGGACCCCAGGGTCCTGGGATTGAGCCCCGCGATGGGCTCCCTGCTCAGTGGGGAGCCTGCTTCTCTCTCTGCCTGCCACTCCCCCTGCTTTTGCTCTCTCCTCTCTGACAAATAATAAAATCTTAAAAAAAAAAAAAAAAGACTCTCTCTCCCTCTGTTCCTCTCCCCTGCCCAAGCTCTCTCTCTAAAATAAATCTTTAAAAATAAATAAATAGGGGCGCCTGGGTGGCTCGGCCGTTAAGCATCTGCCTTCAGCTCAGGTCATGATCCCAGGGTCCTGGGATCGAGCTCTGCATCGGGCTCCTTGCTCTGCGGGAAGCCTGCTTCTCCCTCTCCCACTCCCCCTGCTTGTGTTCCCTCTCACTGTGTCTCTCTCTGTCAAATAAATAAATAATCTATAAATAAATAAATAAATAAATAAGGTGAATTGAGGTACTTCTGGGAAGTCCCCCCTGTCCAGGGAGCCATAGCAACCCCCACCCCCACTTCACTCACATTTCCATTTCTTCCGTGGTGCCTAAAGACTTGCGAATTTGTGAACTCAGCCCTAAATTTCCCTTTCTACCTTTGTTAGCTGTTGTTCACAGTGGAAAGAGATGGAGAAGCGTACCGGCTTCTCAGGCTGGCTTTACAAGCAGGGTCACCACAGGTGAGACAGGCCCCGCCTCAAGTGCTTACCACCATACCCGAAAGAATTTCGGAGCGAATAGCTAACTTTTACTGGGCAGTTCCCACTTGCCAGGGCCTGTTCTAAGCATTTATATGTCCTGGTAACCTAAAGGTTTCTCTGCCTCTACCATTTACAGTTAAAGAAACAGATTGATTAACTTGCCTAAGGTCATCTGAATGAAAATTGAAAAATAAAATTATTGCTGCTTATTTTCTGATTATAGAAGTAATTCTTGTTCAGTATAGAAAATTTGGAAAATACAGAAAAATAAGACCTAAATTCACAAAACTGCAGAATAAAACAAGTCATCTCTATTTGTACCCTGAGACATAACCCCATGTTTAGTAAGGTTCTGCCAGGTTTTTTGCCTCTTGAGTAGTTTTTTAAACATAGATGGGACTACTTGATACATGTGTTTTATAACCTGATTTTTTATATGCCCTATATTTGTGGACATTTTCCTGTGGCAATACCTACTTTTACATCATGTTTTTTAATGGCTGTATCGTCTTATACATGTGCACTATAATGAATTTTATTCTTAACTGATTCTCTATTGTTGGACATTTATGTAACTTCCAAGCTGTTATAATTAGCCAGCATGTGAATTTACAATGAGAAATATATCTGGCAAGGGAACAAGACTATTTCTGCAAGTTGGGCACACATCTTTTCCCTATAAAAAGGATATAGAAAGTCAAATTATATCATAGAATTCAAAAAAAGGGCATTGATCTTAATAACCTGCATCAGCAAGCTACGTGGTAGCCTGTTAATACACATTTGAAGATGTTTAAATAAGATTGTCTATATCATAGCTTTCCAAGTTACATCAAAGACAAAGCCCAAATCACACACATCTGGGCCTTCTGATCCTCACCTTCAGAACTAGCCTGAGGTGGGTGGGTTCTGCAGGTGATTAATCTTGTCTCTCCTGCCACTCTTAGGGTCCTAAGTACCTGCCATCTCATCTCCATGGTCTGGCACCTGAACATTTTACATGGCTGTCCATCATCTATACATACTACCTTGTCATCTTTGTCCCCCATAATTTACCTCTCATTGCCTTGTGTGGAGAGAATCCATGTGTTTGTAACATCTAAGTAGTTGATTGACAAAAGGTGTATTTGCTTTATTTTATTTTTTTAAGATTTTATTTACTTATTTGAGAGAGAGCACGAGAGTGGGGGGAGAGGGAGAGGGAGAAGCAGACTCCCCGCTGAGCAGGGAGCCCGATGTGGAGCTCCATCCCAGGACTCCGGGATCATGACCTGAGCCGAAGGCAGACGCTTCACCAGCTGAGCCACCCAGGCGCCCCTGTGTATTCGCTTTATACACTTAGATGAAAACAGAGATTAGTGGGAACCTATTCAATATCCTTTTCTCTTGGAGACATTTGCAAATTGATTTAATGTGTGTCCGTGGGTAACTTTTTGCTTCAAGCAAAGACTTTTGTTTTTTGCTATATACAGTCATTTAAAAAAAATCTTCCCCACACACCTCCTATTTGCCAGGTCCTGTTCTAGATGCTTGAGATCATCAATGAACAAAAAAGATAAAATTATTCTTTCCCTCACGAATGTATGTGCAAGCAAGTCGGGTGTGGGCATTATTGAATTTCACTGGGTGGCATCAATATGCTAGAATCTGCTGAGCCACTCTCTTGGTACAGTTTTAGTTTAGTGTGAGTTTTGCCAGTTTGGATTGCTGTATACACATTTTAACTTAGCTGTATTCAAAAGACAGCTTCAATTGTGTATGTGTGTGTGTGTTTTAATTCTTGAAATGTTCTTATATACAGAGTGTGGAGAGTCGTGCAAGAAGGAAAGGGAGAGAAGGAAGTGCACACAACAGGATGCTACATTGTTTCCTTAAACGGTATGTGTTTGAACATTTTCCCTTAAAGGAAGATTCCTGGAGGGCCCCACTTCATTTAGGTTTGCTGTGCTGGTTCAGGTGTTTTTTGAGCTGCCTTTGAAGTGGTTACATGTACGTGGGCCTCAAGTGTGACTAGTCTTTGCCTCTTGAGGATCATTTTATTTTGAAATGTAGCCAAAAGTTATTTAGTGGAATCTGAAGACCAAGGAATTCCGCAAGCCGGTGAATAGATGTTTAGTCAAAAATGTCTGTGATGTGAGCTGCAAGTTTTTTGGACCTTAGGAGTCAAGGGTGTGCATATTATACGCCATTTGAGGCCCCTTGTCATCATTAGTCGAGCAAGGTTGCTTTCACTTTATTTCCTGTTTTCTCGTCGGCCCACTCCTACCCCCAGAAGTGGGCAATTCTTTTTTTTTTTTTTTTGAAAATTTTCTTTAGTTATTTAAATAATATCTATCCACAACGTGGGGCTCGAACTCACGACCCTCAAGATCAAGAGCCACATGCTTTTCTGACTGAGCCAGCCAGGCAACCTAGCAATTCTTTATCCTGTTCAATATATATTTTTTTAATTATCTTAAGGTGTACTTCTGTGTAGGGTACATGTATTTTCTATCTTTTAAAAACCATTTCTCTTACTATAAAATAAAATTCATGCAAAATGTAAAAAATTAAGTCAATAAAAGAAGTTGTAAAGAAGAAAATTTACTCATAATTCCACCATCTACACTATGAGCAGTTTGATATATATACTTCTATCTTCTGGACATTTGTAGGCTCCGGAGCCCAACACAGGGCTTGAACTCATGACCCTGAGATGGAGACCTGAGCTGAGATCAAGGGTCAGATGCTTAACTGACTGAGCCACCCAGTCACCCCTGGACATTTTTATACACTTACATGTGCCTACCCATATTAACTTAAAATGGAATGATTATGTATAGTTTACGATCCAGTAACAGTTGACTGTGCTTTTTCTTGCTGAGGGCTTTCTGATTTTTCTTCTAGTCTGTACATCTGGAGTGGTTCCTTCTCAGTAGTAGTTGCACACGGTAGAGGCTGTCCTCTTGTGTTCAAGAAGTCTGGTGGAGCGGGCAGTTTCGGACAGTGTGGTGGCTCCATAATGTCATCAGTGCCCCAGGCTCCTTCCGTTTTTTTTCACTATCCTCCTTAGCATGTGGCTTCTTTGAGGTCACATCGTGGTCAAAAGGTGGCCACTGTATATAAGCCCCAGCAATCCCATTCTCATTCCAGGCAGGAAGAAAGAGGAAGCTAAAAACGCTCCTTAAAGCAACACTTCTCAAAACTTTAAACGCATATGTGAGCCAACAGGGGGTCTTGTTAAAATGCAGATCCCAATTCCATAGGTTGGACTAAATGCCCAAGATTCTGCATTTCTAACAAAGTATCACACTTTTTATTTTTAAAATTTATTTATTTGAGAGGGCGTGAGAGCGAGGGAGATCACAGAGGAAGAAGGAGAAGCAGACTCGCAGCCAAGCAGGGAGCCTAATGTAGGACTCGATCCCAGGACCCTGAGATCATGACCTGAGCCGAAGGCAGATGCTTAACCAACTGAGCCACCCAGGCACCCCTATCACACTTTTTTAAATAAGAGGACTTGAAAGAATTTTCTGGAAGCCCTGTCTAGTGACTTCCTGGCTTTCATTTCATTGGCCAGAACTGTATCATGTAACCATCCCTGGCTGTGGGAGAGGCTGGAAGATGTGGCCTTTTTAGCTGGACACTTTGTCACCCTGGATACAACAAATGTGTTTCTGTTAGTAGGAAAGGAGAGTGGTGTTGGTAGGTGACTCGCAGCCTCTGAGTGCTCAGATCACATTGGAAAAGCTTTTGAAAAGTCTGTCCTCTTAATTGTCACAATTCATTTATGGTAGAAAGTATGATTTCCACTGCCTACCCTTTATAGAAATTTTTTTCTGGGAATGTTCTCAGTGAAACCAGAATAACTTTGTAATATATATGAAGTGATGGCCCTTGTCACTCTTCCCAGATGCAAACTTCCTCTACTATAGTTTTCCCATTCTGGTTTGTGAAATAAGTGGACTTTGGTGGGGGGGTCGGGGGAAGAGATGGGCTAAGAGACTAGCTCTCCTGCTTAGCTTTGCATATTTACTCCACCTTTACATTCAGCCTGGGATGCTGTTTTAACTCCAGATGCAAGTATCTAAGATCCTGTGAGATCTGTCATTATTTCAAAATAAAAAGCTAAAAAATCTCCAAAATCCCGATCCAACTGTAAACAGTATTTTTGAGACATTCTTGAATTATAGGCGTTTTCCATGCAAAAGGTTTTTTGGAAAGTCTTTAAAAATTGAAAGATATCAAAAATATATAAAGTACTCCTACAATCAGGGGTGCCTGGGTGGCTGCCCACCAAAAAAAAATAAGAAAAAAAAGGGAGGTGCCTGGGTGGCCCAGTCAGTTAAGTGTCTGCCTTCGGCTCAGGTCATGATCCCGGGATCCTGGGATCGAGCCCCGCATCGGGCTTCCTACCCAGCAGGGAGTCTACTTCTCGCTCTCCCTCTGCCTCTCCTCCGACCAACCCCCTTGTGCTCTCACTCTCACACACTCTTTCAAATAAAGTACTCCTACAGTTAAAAAGCAACATTGAAAAATGGGCCAAGGACTTGAGTAATAGACATTTCCAGGAAAAGATGCTTAACATCACTAATCATCAGGGAAATGCAAATCAAACCTACAGTGAGATACCACTTCACACCCGTTACCATGACTATTATGAGCAAAACAAACTACAAGTGTTGGGGAGGCTATGGAGAAATCACAACCCTTGTGCGGCCGCTGTGAAAAATGGTATGGCAGTTCCTCAAAATAATTCAAATAGAATTACCATATGACCCAGCAGTTCTGCTTCTTGGTATATTTCCAAAAGAACTGGAAACAGGGACTCTGGTATTTATTTGCACACCCATGTCTATAGCAGCGTTAATGATAATACAGAAGGTGGAAGCAACCAGGTATCCACCCCTGGGGGACTGGAGAAACAAAACGTGGTATCGTACAATGGAATGTTGCTCAGCCTTTCAAACGAAGGAAATTCTTCTGTAAAAGATTTTATTTATTTATTTGAGAGAGAGAGAATGCAAGAGAGCACAAGCTGGGAGAGCGGCAGAGGGAGAGGGAGAAGCAGGCTCCCCACTGAGCAGGGAGCCCGATGCAGGGCTCAATCCCAGGACCCCGGGACCATGACCTGAGCCGAAGGTAGACGCTTAACGACTGAGCCACCCAGGCGCCCCTGAAACAAAGGAAATTCTGCCCCGTGCTATGACATGGATGAACCTCAAAGACATTGTATTAGTGCAGTAAGGCAGTCACAAAAGGACAAATACAGTTTGATTCCACTTATAGGAGGTACCTCGAGGAGCCAAATTCATGGAGATGGAAAGTGGAGTGGTGATTGCCAGGGGCTGGGGGGAAGTTAGTGCTTAATGGGTATGGGGTGTCAGTTTGGGCAGATGAGAGAAGTTCTGGAGGTGGTTGCACTGTGGCTAGAATGTGCTTAATGCCATTGAGCTTATGCTTAAAAGTTACTACATAAATTTTATGTTCTATACATTGTACCACAACTTTTTTTTTTTT